TAGAACCCTAAAGACTTTAACCAAGAGGCCGGCGATGTGCCTTTGGAGAGCCTCCTGGCCGGATGCCCAGCATCGGCCGGTTTAGGGTTTAGATTTTTAGGGTTTAGGGTTTAGGGGTTCAGGGGCTTAGGGTTTAGGTTTTGTTTGGGTTTAGGGTTTAGGAGTTTAGGGGTTAGGGTTTAGGATTTTAGGGTTTAGGGTTTAGGGTTTCGGGTTTGGGGTTTACGGCCGGTTAGGAGCCTAATTGTAGGGGCCTTACTTTTCTTGGCGTTCTTCTGGTTGGCTCTTAGGACTTTAATTTTTGGGATTTCTATATGAACCATAATAAGGAGGCCGAAAGTTTACTTTTTAGGAGGGGTTCAGAAGTCAGCCAAGTCTTTCCAATCTAGAATTCCTTGAGGGCCCCATTCTCGGTCTAAAAGGGTTTGTTGTATGGGTTTGGGGTTCAGGGTCTACTATAGTTGTAGGAGGCTTCATAACACAACAAGTATACTTTTACTTATAGTTAGGAACCCTGAGGAAGAATACTGCTAACTGTTCATGCTTATATAGGACCCTAGAGCCGCATGGCCTGGGGCTTAGTGCTTGGGGTTCAGGCTTTAGGCATCTAGGGTTCCTGTAGCAGTTCCGTTTACTGGCTCTGCATGCTTTCGTCAGTTTCAGGGTTTTTGCGGCACGAACTGCTGCGACCCTGCAGGCATTAAAAAAACACTCCAGATGCTCCGTGACCTCAGACGAAATCACTAACTCCATCCAGACACCGTTCGGCGATCCCAACGTGCACATCAACTACCTGTCACGGGCGAAGTTAAATACTTTCACCCAGGGGGAAGAGGACGCCGCTAGCACTGCAGGCAACATTCAGCAGAGCAGCGAATATGCCTTTCAGTGCAAGCTGTTGGGGCAAGCCGAAGCCGTTGAGTACGTCCTAAAGCCGGCCATCAACGGTTTTCAGAAGCGCATGTCCATGGCCTTCAGTCCCAATCGGAATCCCGAGGACACTTCGTTGAATGACGCCAACAGTCGCTGGATCTTGCAAGTGCTTCATGACATGATGTTCGAGGGGCCTATGTTTCAGGAGTGTAGGTTTTACTGTAGGGGTTATCAGAACTTGAATATGTTCAGCCCGAGTCTAATTCTTTAGAGCCCTACCCTACACGGGCTTTGGAGGATTCGGGTTAGGGTCTGGGTGGTTTCGGGTTTCCGCTCAGAGACTTGAGGGTTGGTTGGGCAAGCTCCCAGGTCTAGGAGTCTAGGGTGCGTGATTATTCTTGTAGGTTTCTCGGTTTATCGGTGCTTGAAGAAAGTATCCCTGATGACCCTTGCGCGCATCCTGATTGTAACCGTAATAGTCGCCCTTACAGTATAACCCTAGTTTCGAAAAAGAAGCCTAAGTTGGAGAAGCCTTGGTTGAAGCCAGATCCTGAGCTGTTCTCTCACCTTAAGCCCTTTAAGCCCCTGTTTCGGGTTTAGGGTTTTACCCCAAGGCTGCCGCAGATTATGATATTGGGCTGCGTCTACGATGGCTGCCCTTTAAACTCTCTGAGTTTAGTGCAAAAAGATGTGAAGTGTAAAGCCTCAACTCTACTAGAATGTCCCTTACGCACTTATACAATAATAGCAGCCCCTATGACGACGATCACTACGACGACGACGACTACTACTGCTGCGACGACGACTACTAGTACGATCGACCCCCGCATCCGTTCACCCTATGCTGAAAACCGTTAATCCCTAAACCCTAAGCCTTAATCACACCCGAAACCCGACACCCTAAACCCTGAACCTTAAACCCTGAACCCTAAACCCTACACCCTGACCCCAGCCAGCCGATTGCCGAAGGCGGGCGGCAGTGCGGCTGCATTGGAGGCTGGCAACGGGGCTCGGTGTCACCCTAAGGGTTTAGAGTCTAGGGCTCCGAAACTTAATTTTTCAATCCCGAAGGGTTTAGCGTTTAGATTACAGATTCCAAACTTCAGAACCCCAAAACTTTTCAACCCCGTTTAAACTTTAAGTAAGCCCCCGCACCCCAAATCGCCCCAAAGCCAACCCTAAACCCTAACCCTAAACCCTAAACCCTGAACCCCCTAAACCCTAAACCCCTAAACCCTAAACCCTGAACCCCCAAAGCCCTAAACCCGATTTCTTCGGACTGGAGGGCTCCAGGTTCGGACTTGAGGGCTCCAGGGAGTAGCATCCTTGGAGGGTCTTTAGGGGACTTAGTGACAGAATGGGGTCCTTAAGGGTCCCTTTAAAGGGATCTATCATAATGGGTTCCTTAAGGGTCCCTTTTAAAGGGATCTAATTGGGTTCTATAAGGGTATAGGGTTTAGGGTTTAGAGTGCTTGGAGGGTCGGGGGACTTAGTGACATAATGGGTTCCTTGAGTGTCCCTTTAAAGGTTGAGAGAAGATGCTAAAACACCTCCAAGGAAAGAAGACAAAGCCGAAGAGAAAGTGGAAGTACCGCCGGAGTTCAAGAAGACTGGAGACGAGCTCATAGCCGAGGCTGAGCAAGCAGTTGTGATGGTGGAAAGGATCGAAGAGCTTAAGCAGAAAGCAGAAGCAGCGAGCGAAAGAAGAAAAGCACTGAGGGAAACAGCCAAAGAAATTACTGCGCAGGAAGATGAAGCTGGAGAAGAGCCAAGAAGGCCGAGGAGCCGCAGAGGGCCGAGGAGCCACAAAAGGCCGAGGTGCCAAAAGAAGAGCCAACAGAAGAGCCAAAAAGGGCCGAGGAGCCGAACTAATTGGATTCTATAAGGGTATAGGGTTTAGGGTTTAGAGTGCTTGGAGGGTCGGGGGACTTAGTAACTGGTTATTTTGGGGACTTATAAGTACCATAGCCCCAATTAGAGTCCCTTTTAGGGTACTTATAAGTCTACTGACTACCTACTTACTAAGTCCCCCGACCCTCCAAGTAAGGTCCTGAGCACTGAGAAAAGGGTGTGGGAAGACTAAACAGGCTTTCCAAGGATACTATATAGTCTACTTAGGCATTTATTTGTTGATTTTTGTTGTTCTTGCAAGACCCAAGAGAGCATTAGCAGTACTAGTCTTATTGTGGTTCTAAGGGGGGTATAGATCATTTGTTCTGACTTCTACATTAGGGTTTCAGACTTCGTGGTGCAGGGGTCTTAGGTTGAGAACCTGTGAAACCTGGAGCCCCGGCCTAGAACCCGGAGCCCTAAAAGCCAGAAAGTTGGAATATGATTATCCTAAACCCTTTATGGTAAATTATAAGGTATACTAACCTGAAACCATATTCCAACTTTCTGGAGTTCCCTGTAGCCCTAAACCCTTAACCTCTAAACCGTAGCCTTAGCCCTTCTAGCTGCAGCTCGAAAGACTTAATCTTACTACCGGTAGCCCGGACTTTGCACGTCGAGACCGGGTTTCGATTCGGTTGCAACAAATACGAGAAGAACGCCGACCGGCCAGCTACGCGCCGAAACCCGAAACCAGCAAAACCACCCAAAAACCCTCAAAAGCCTATGCCCTAAACCCTGAACCCTAAACCAGTAACCCCCCCCCCAAAAAAAAAAAAACTCAAACGCCTATGCCCTAAACTCTGTAGGAAGTCCTGGCCTCTCAGACCTTTCGGGGCACTGGAGAACAGGAGCTCAAAAAACAATCCCGTAGGAATCCTCCAACCCTGAACCCTGTAGAGAAACCTCAAGAAGCCGAGCAAATGAATCTAGGGGCTTAAAGCAAATAATGACCAAACTTATTTCCTTAGAGCTTAATTAGGTACCCTTAATTTCGGAAACTATACTTTAGGGTTTCATGCTGCATGTTAGTTTTCAGGGGTTCTTATTGAAATTGTTTGTATTATATAACGCCCCTTATTCTAGCTGTTAAGGCCCCTGTGTTAAAAATCGGCAGGCCGAAAGGCACGCCAAGAGGCGGACCCTAAACCCTAAACCCCAAAACCTAAAACCCTAAACCCCTAAAGCCTTAAATCCTGTCGGCAGGCCGCTGCGCACGCCAAGAAGCGGACTTTAGGGGTCCTGGAGGGCGTGGAGGATCTTCAAGGCCCAGCTTAGTGCAATCGGTTTGGTGCTTAGAGCTTAAGGTTTAGGGTTTGTAAGGCCGAAACCCCTAAACACGGGCTTTTCGTAGCAGGGTTGATGCTGGGTTAGATGGGTCCTGAAAGCTTAATGACGTTTTGAATTCATGAGGTTACTCGGTTGTGTTTTGTGGCTCCAGGGTGCAGGATTCAGGTTTCAGCAGATTCCGGGCTTAGGTTAATTACTACAGTAGTCCTCTCGTTTTTCATCTACCCTCGGCGATTTTGTGTTTAGCGCTTTCAGGGTTTACATAATACCCCAAACCCTGTACCCTCAACCTTAAACCCGCAAAGCCTAACACTAAGCCCTGAGCTTACTTTAGACCTCAATTTAGGTTTAGAGTTCCACGATCCCAAAGAGCCGAAAGAAGCGCACACACTCCAAGCCCTTGGCTTTCCGCGTCCAGCCTTACGGGGATAAAACTGGGTTGGGGTGGTCTTTATCAATAGGACTATACGGGATACTATTCATGAGTAATCACAAGGCTATACTACATTCTAAATCTCGAGCCGATGCGAAACAAGGCATACACCCAGGGCACCTAATATTCTAGACTAGGGAAGATCAGAAAGCAGGTTTTGGCCTATGGGGCCATGTCCTACCTTGAAGTTTCCTCGTAAAGACTATTTGCAAGAGTGTACCCGCATCATTATCAAGGGAGACAGAGTAGAGGTGTGTATGTACTTATGTATGTATGCTGCAGCTCAAGCTGCCCGGCTAGTCACCAATTCCTGCACTGCCGCGGCTGCAGTTCACTCGTCGCCAGAGTTGCCCAAAATGTCAGGCAGGTATTGGGTAAAGTTACCCAGAGACTCCAATATGCCTTAGTTAAGGAATGTACCTTCGATCATATTAGGGGTCCTAATAATAATTTAAGCTACATTCCTGAAGTAAGGGATATTGGAGTCTGGGTTTCTCAACTTCGCAAACGGCGTTTACGAGCCTGACGAGATCGCCCCCGGAGGGTCACACCCATCGACGTTCACATTCGGTGCCTCCGTGGTTTCGGCTCTGGCAGCCGGAGCCAGGCGGTGGCCCAGCTCAGCGACGGTAACCTGACGGTCGGCACCAAGAATTTGGGAGGGAAGGGCGCTGGGGGAGCGACAATGGGCCTACTGGCCCGGGTGTTGTGGCTCAGCGTTCCAGGAAAAGAGCTTGAGGGCCCGATAACATGAGGGTGCAGAGTTTAGGGTTTAGTGAGTTTAGCTGATGCCTTGTAGGATTATGCATAGGTGCTGTCTTCGCAACTTTTGTTGCTTCAGTTGCGACCTGCCGTTGGGGGCCCAAGGCTGCTTGGAGGGTCGGGGGACTTAGTAAGTAGGTAGTAAGTAGACTTATAAGTACCCTAAAAGGGACCCTAATTGGGGTTATGGTATTTATAAGTCCCTAAAATAACCAGTTACTAAGTCCCCCGCCCCTCCAAGTGGGGCGTACGGAAATTGGACTTACTTGCTTGCCTGGGTTTTGGCAGACTAAAGTTAATCTAAAGTCTTGAATAGTCAGCAGTTTATATCCCTGACTAATCGTCCCTGCATATTCGTCATATAATGTGCTTCAAACCCCATCGTAACATGATTCTAACCTCCAGACCCCTAAACCCTAAACTGTTCCAACTATTAAGGCCCCCCCAAAACCCTAAACCCTAAACCCTCAACCCTTACCCTGAACCCCTAAACCCTAAACCCTCCTAAACCCTAAGCCGTAAACCCTAAACCCCTAAACCCTAAAACCCTAAACCCTAAAACCCTTAAGCCCTAAACCCCTAAACCTAAACCCTAAACCCTAAAAACACCGAAATCCTCCTAAACCCTAAACCCCTAAACCCCTAAACCCCTAAACCCCTAAACCCCTAAACCCTAAACTGCACTCCATCCGAAAGCCCAACCCCGTCAACCCGAAGTCCATACCCAGAGCCTCGGCTCTTGCGGCTTACACTCATCTTAATACTCTAAAGTAGGGGCCAAAAAAAGGACATAAGCATAAGCATCTTATAGGGTTATCCCTACCTTACTGGACTTCATTTTAAGGGGGTTTATATGGGATGTTTATATACACTACCATTATGGAATTAGGTACCAAAAGCCCATCCCTATTATGGTTTTTGGGGGGCCTAATTCCAGAATAGTAGTGTATATGGACCCTCTTGGATACTCTACAAAGGCTTATAAGGGTGATAGCGTACTATGATACTCTAAAGGGGTTTATAAGGGTTACCATAAGGCATCCATAATAGGGTACTATGATATATAACAGCCCTGGAGCTCCCAAAAGCCACAAGAAGGTAGTATTTCGCGACTTTAGACCGCAAAGTAGGTACTATTTTGTATAGTTGGAGCCCTAGGGTAGCTGATGCTGCAGCACCCAAAAGCCGAATCCCAGCACCTTACTGAGCTACCGTTTAGGGTTTAGGGTCTACCGTAGAAGGGGCCCCCACCCTGTAGTAGTGACTATGAGGATTATATTAGGGCCCTATTATATTCCTTGTATACCACTATTACAGGGTGGGGGCCCCTTCTAAGGTCTACCTTAAGACTACACTCTCAACCTGGAACGAAAGGAACCACGAACCTGAACCCGAAGCCCTCAACTTAAACCCTCAACCCTAAACCCCACACCCCCAAACCCCTACTAAACCCTAAACCCGCAACCCCGAAACCCTAACACCCTAAACCCCTAAACCCTAATGCGGGGTTTGCCGCAGGGGCCGATGCAGAGGAGGATGCCGATGAGGCGGCTTGGGTTTCATAACATAGGCGCCTTCATAATTAGAATAGGGATGCCTTTAAAGGGGTGTTATGAGGGTTTGTATAAGGATTTGTTGAACCTCAGGAGCATCCTGAGAGTTGGGGTTTTCCGTAGAATGCGAAGCCATAGATGTCGTCAACGATCTGCTCTGGGCTCGTCGGGAGATTCAGAGCTGGAGGTCCATGGGCTTACAACGCACAACTCTTTCACACTCAGCGGCAAACACATCCGTCCTCTAGACTGGTATCGTCTGCTACAGTGGCATGTCGAACTGTGCCTATACATGACTGACATGTCACATGAGGGGTCACCCCTCTTCAGATCTGAGCCTTCTAGGCTCTGCGGGAGTGCATCAGCTCTCACAGCTTCTACACTCCTCCTCAGTCGCATCGTTCTTTAAGAACGGAAGACTGCTATGTTCTTCCGTCCCGCAGAGCCTGCAAACAGTAACGACACAGCATTCTGTCTTGAACTCCAGTAGAGTTTCGCAAGGCCTGGCAGGAACGAAAGAGGTGCAAAGCTCCAGGTGTTCTGCTAGAAGTCGTGATCATATGAAGCTCGCACAGCTCTTCAAAGTTAAATCCACGATCAAATGTAGTTTGTGTTGATGCATCCTTCTTAACCTGCTCCGTTCGTTCAGAACCACTACTCGGGAGAAAGGAACGGGGCCTCGGCTGCCACGAGGAGGCTGCCTCGGTAGAGACAGGAAGTCCACAAAACTCACGAAGTCCATCGGGTTGGGTTACCGGAGTGGATACCGGGTTTCCCGGAGGCGAAGGACGAAATCCATCGGTTGGCGGTCCCGGGAGGAACGCCAGGTCATTGGCTGAATGGGCGGTCTGAAGTCCATCAGTTGGGGGTGCTGGAATAGGCACCGAGCCGCTGGGCGGCAAAGGAGGTGGTGGAGGAGAGGGGCCTGTTATAACGGCACTGGGCTGCGCTTCAACCTGCACTCGTAGATAAGAAGAACCCACTTGCAACGTCTGGTAAGCCTCTGCTTCTGAGCCCTGAGCTGACCTATGCCTGAGGCCTTCTCCCTGCAACTCCCGTGCAATTGCCCTGCGAACCACCTCTTCTCTAGAACCCCTACGAGCTCTAGGAACCGAACTGTCATCGGCACTCAACATCCTCACTTCAGGTTCATCATCTTGGCGGCTGCAACAAACCCTTAGTCCATATCTCGCAGACTCCCACACAAATAGAACCGAAAGGATCATCAGCAACACCAACAGGGGTAATTCCAATCCCAAAGGTTCCCCTTCAGAATCATCCTCCTGCACAGACTGGGTTTGCTCTATTTGAAGCAACAGCATTAAGGCAAACAACCATAAGCCTAATCTGTCCCTATCTGTCGAACCCTGCAAACCAAAACAAGCTGTGGGCTGTTGGCTCGGCTTGTCCTCCCGAGTCTTCACCTGATGAAGAGGCGGTGGGAGACTCACAGCAGCTACACTGGCTTCTGGAGGGATCCTAGGGGGGCCTAAACCCAAAAGCTTGCAAAGGTCATCAAGCCGGGACTTCATTAGGGCCTTAGTGAGGCAGTCGGCTAATTGAACGTCCCCCGGACAGTGGGACACGTCAATCTCATTGCGGTCTATCATATCCCGAATGAAAGCCGAACGTACTCGCAAATGTCGAGTTCGCTGGCTTCCCTCACCACCCGCCAGCGTCACCGCGGCGGTGTTATCAATCATCAAATGCTTGCAACACGGGCCTTCCTCAAGCTCAACAATCAAAGCTTCAAGCGACTGTCCTAAGACTACGCCTTCACAACCCGAGACCAACTCCGATTCAGCGGTGCTTAGAGTTACAATGCTCTGGCGCTTTGATTTCCAAACTACACAGCACTCGTCATACATAAGAGCTATGCCGGTAATTGAGTGGCTTCCGTGCGGTGCGAATGACGCGTCTGTAAAGATTCGGAGTCCGTCGGCCTTGCCGGGGATTAACATCAGCCTGTTAGACCTGGTATTCGCTAGGTACTCAAGAACCCTGGTCCCTATCTTCAAGACCTGCCTTGGAAACCGGGCTACCCAGCTGGCCATGAGACCCACACAGTAACTGATATCCACTCGAGACCTCTGAGCCACCCAAAGCAGCTCACCAGTGATGCGCTGCGATGCTCGCAACTCACCTTCTGAGAACTGTTCCTCAGGTGGAACTTCACGCACCCACTCCTTAGGAACTGGCGCTGTAGCCCTTGAACTGGGCTTCACTTCATGATTTCGCAACAGCTCTGCTATGTAGGACTCCTGTGCTAGGCTGTATCCAATAAGGTCGCCGGTGTCATTCAGCTCTGCATAAATGTCCACCCCAAGGAAACGCAGTGGATCTGATGAGGTCGCCTCTTTCAGACCTGTGCACTCCCAGGATTGCCTTAGCCAGCCAATGAACGATTGCGCCACTTCTGGTTCTGTCAACAGTAGCATATCGTCCACATATACCAACAAGTGTCCAATACAGTAGCCGCTCTCGTGCCTCATGCGCCAAACATTACCTTCAGACGAGAACTGCTCAAGCGTGACTTCACCCAGCTCGGTACTCCACTTTGCCTTAACCAGGAAATCGTCTCTGAACAGTGACCACCAGCGCGGGCTTTCTCTAAATCCATAGAGCGCCCGGTCTATGATCCAAACCTCGTCCTCCCGCGCCAGCTCAAGCTCGATCAAGAGACGTGGCGGGCGCATCGCATAACGCTTCGTTACTCCCTCTGGAATCGAAGCCAGGAGAAACGCTGACTTCACGTCAAGACCAAATGCACGACGGCCGCGTCGGGCCGAGTGTACCAGCAATGCCCTCAGAGACTCCGCGCCGGCTCCACCAGCATAGAGCTGAGACTCAGCTGTGGTCTTCGCGAAATTCCCACATGACACGATTCTGAACTTTCTTTTGTAAGGCTCACCAGGTTTCACCGTACATACAGGTTTCCCAGGAATAACTTCATATTTCGGATCTCGGAGAATGGCACGGGCTTCATCACCGTAAAACCTTCGTATCACACTCATCTTTTCGAAGGTATCCAGCTCGGCTTTCGCAGCGGGGCGCCACTTTGCCAGATTCAGACGGACTTCAGCTGGCGATACGTTGTGTGTCACCTCCAACGGGCCCTTCAAACTGGATAGCAGGTCTTCAACGTTCAAGGTAAACCCTCCTTCATCAACTCGTCGAACGAATGGTTCAGGCTGCACGGTGCGACCCCTTCTACCTAGACTCAACAGAGGATCCGTGGTTGGTACGTCAATGGTCACTGGGGGACTCGTGGTAACACGGTGCTCTGACTCAGGAGCCTCACCTGACTGCTCAACGGAGCTATCTTCATCGCTCAAAGGACCAGCAAGATGAACCGTCATACACCTATATACATCCAAGGACTGTGATGGGGTTGAATCCGTCGGGTCTTCACTAGACTCTTCCGACGGTGCATGCTCAGCTGGGCAAACCACCTCACTAAGAGTGCGCTCCTCTGGCTTCTGATCAACATGCGAACCTGTAGGCACCTGGGAGCTGGAGGAAGCTGCTCCAGCACTTGGTACCCACTCATCATCACCCCACATCTCTTGCATATACATAACGTGGTTATAGCAACTACCCCCTGTACAAGCAGTAGTACCCTCGGGCACAGGGTCTGGGAAACTCAGGTTCCCTGAGCGTGACTGTGATGGGGTTGAATCCGTTGGGTCTTCACTCGACACTTCCGAAGGAACGTCCCACCTTCTGCTTGACTCAGCTACATGAGAATTTCCTCGTCCCCTTTGCAAGGCATCAGGTTGTCTTATCCCCAGGTTGGGCAACGGCGGTCCAGGGCACCTAACACCTAAGGTCCTATTCTGAAAGATCCAGGGGATCTGCCGCTGTGCCTTATCAAACACTCGAACCTCCCCCGTCGTAAGGCTAGAGTTCTGCGGGTTGTCCGGCCTACGAGTGCCCGGAGGATGTATGTCTATCATGATTCGGTTGGAAAGCCACTCTGGGATCCCATGCTCAACCAAATCTTCAACAAACAGAAACTGAAGATCATTCGGCTCTTCAATTCCCAGTGCCTTCAGTTGGCGATAAGCCTGACTTGCGTCCCGAGCGCGGAGGTAAGCATCAAGCTCTAGGCCCTCCAGATACTCATGAGGAACATCCCCAGGATTGCCAGCACTAAAATCCCAACCAATCATAGTTGAGTTAGTGTCCTGCTGTAGGTCGGACGACAACATACAACTCTCGGCTTCAGCAATTTGCCTCGACAGCTCAGCTGAACTTATGCTGGATTCTGAAGTATCCTCAGAACTCGTGGACACTACCTTCACCTGATAGGCCACCGAAGACTGCACCTGGATCTCACTCACCTCTTGCTCCTCCTCAGAGCCGGCAGGCGGTTCTTCGGAATCACTAATCCTAACCACTTTCGCTCCAGGCTCCGTGCTCAACAACTCCAACGGGAACTCACAGGAATCCAAATAAACCAACTCCCCTTGATCAAGCTTACTCGTTCCTAAGGGGGTGTACCCTACCAACAACCATGTCGGGCTCATGCGTACAGCATGGTGCTTGCGAGGGTTAAAGCTTACTGGAATCTCAGTGAGCACTCGGGTCTCACCTGGGGCCCAAGTCGGGTTTGGGAGAACGGCTCCCTTAGCACCCTCGGTGGTCGTTGGTTCAACCCACAAATGAACCTCACCGGGAACATGCATGGCATAATTCATCGTTCCCCATTCATTCCTCCAATCACGATGAACATCCACATCACTGGCTGTCATCAACATCAAGGCGGACCACGTCGGCTTACCCTCATTTGAGCTTAGGCACAGCCGAAGGGAAAGAGCACGATTCAAGAAGCGGGTTGTCCACGGCTTCCTCCTCGTAAGGGTGGTTACCCCTCGAATGCCTCCATGGCAGTACGCTCCCAAAATCTGTCTTCCCTGAACTATGCCTCTTCGGTCTCCGGTACTGTCCTCCTCCTGAGCAATGGCATTAAGCACACGGCGCACAGCATCCAGGCTACAGTCCTGGTGGATTAAAAACCCATGTGCAAGCTCCTCAGATGTAGGGAAGTCCAGACATTCAAGAAACCTTACCGAAGTCTTTTCCCTCAACCTTCTCAGGGGTCTTCCAGCCTCATCCACAGCCTCACTCAAGGGGGGCTCAGCAGAGTCCTCTTCCTGAAGGATGGGTAGTTCAAGATCCTTAAGCTGGGTCGGGTCTATAACCTCGGACTTAAACCCGCGAGAGGCCACAAGGTTGCCTGCATCAGTAATCAAGACATGGCCTGTTGGTATTGAGCGGTGTGGTGCACCATAACGGGCTTCCACCCACCGATCCATCAACTGCTTGGCTCCATCCGCCGGACGTTTAATGCGGTGCAATACGCGCTGTCCAAACGCTGGCAGCTCCGGCTCACCCAAAATCATCAAATTATGCTTAGCCACAGCCCATCTGGCCGCTAGTGGCCACCAACCCACAGGAAGGGCAGCAGCATTGAGCAGCGTACGAATGCGTGACTTGACCCAACCTACGGTACGCTCTGAGAGTCCATTGCCCTTCTTATCAGTCGGTAGCGAATGCTGTACTCGGATAGCATGTTGGGCTAGCCAGCGGCTTAGGGCTGCTGATCCGAACTCAGTGCCCGGATCATGATGTAGACTTCGAATTGGAAACCTTTGGTTTATCTCTAAGATCATTTTCTGTAGCGCTTCCGAAACTTCAACCCCTGTCTTCGTCTTGAGTGGAATGAAGTATCGGAGAACCACCTGGTCGGTAGGTTCCCTCAGCTCACTGATCAACTTGGTTAGCGCTTGGGGATCACTCGGGAGATCCTCCTCATCAAGGAGAGATGGTTCATGCCCACTGGGCACGGCCTCAGAATGCTTCACCTCAGGAGAATCCACGGGGACCGGTGAGTGGTTCGGGGGTTCTCGCTGGGAACCGAAGAGCTCCGGAAATAACTCTGGCTCCTCCTCAGACGGCTCGTAATCTGCTAGTTCGCTGTCTTGTGGAGGGATAGGGGGTTTGCTGAAGAGGTCAGAGACACCATTCTTTCCTGAAGGCGCATTCACAAGGCATGACGGGACTCTAAACGCACCCACAAGCCCGTATCGCAGCACCGGCTTCCCAGTCACACAGCCCTCATCTCTACCTACCTCCTTCAAAGGAACCGGGCCAAACAAGTCGACTGAGAGAGCGAAGCTTCTCGGAAACTTTATACGCCTGTGAAAGGGGCCCAAGCCTGAACCCTCCACACATTGACGACAGTCCCTACGATAGGGTAGGTGTCCGTTACGGAGATGCCTTTTCCAACCCTCGGTTTCAGCGCTGGTGAGCTTGGGCATACTTGGCACGGAATCCGAGGCTTCATGAGGGGGTTCAGGTGAGTCCGGGTCACCCTCATTCCCTTCACCTGAATGGACGAGTGGTGGATCAAGCTCTGCTTCCCGGAATTCCGGGGCTTCTTCATCATCAGAATTTATGACACTTTCAGCTTCAAATGCTCTGAGCATAGCCTCCAGCTCCTCATCCGGAACGCGAGGAGGTTCCTGCGCAGTCGAGGGCACCGGACCTGGGAGGTCCTCAGGTGGAACCGTGCGTGGGTCAATGCTAGGAGGGATCAGCCCTCCGCGCTCAGCGATTACACGGTCCAACTCTTCGCAAGACGGTCCTGAAGGGTTTCCTACAAGAGCCTTTGCAAGTTCTACCCGAAGACCATAGGTCCACTCCCGTCCCCTTGGCGGTGTCGCAGGATTGCCCTTCGGATCTAGGGTACTCAAATAACCGATATCCAAATTGGTGATCAAGGAAGTTGGTCTCAAGTACTCACCTCCAAGCGACCCTTGACTCAACGTAACACATTTGGTTCCCGACCACTTCATGAACCTCGAACTCACCTCAGCAAGAATCCCTTGATGCTCTGCCACATAAGGAACCCCACATCCTCTGGTTACAGAAGCCAGTGACCACAGCAGCATAGCCTGCACCGTGAACAACTGGGCTTCATCGGCCCTTGCAGATGGTGGAGAGGAGAACACCGCAGCAACACGTCCCTGAGAGGCAGCCCACAGGAGTACCTTCCATACGCCATCTTGTTTGGAAAGGTCCCAACCCTTACCTCCTGGTTGCATCAGATCAACCTGAAGATAGGTGAACCCTCCTTGCAGTGCCCATGCATTCAAGGGGTCCTGCGCTCGGGCGGGGCCACTACATAGGTGAACAACCCACTTGGTCGAATCCAGAAGAGATCTTCGGGCGGCTCGCTTCAAGGGAAGGAGCTTCAGCAGAGAACGGTCTGACCCGGGATGGCTCGTTGGGACCTCCTCCGCCAGAGCAACCTTTATCTCCTCAGGAAGGCCAGCAAGATAAGGCTGAGAGAGGAAAGCCCGAAGGGCGTCAAACCGGGTGCCAGTGGTGGCAAAGCGCCCTAAGGAACCGGTTGGATCCGGAGGGGCGTCATACGACTCCAAATGACACTCAAGGTTCTGGACTCTCTGCTTAAACCTTTCCAACCTCTGATCTTCAAGTTCCGAAATCAACTTGAGCGCTTGGTCCTCGGCCACATAAGGACACGTGTTATCAGATATTCGAGTGTTCAAGACGCCCAGAGTTGGGTGGATCACTCGGAGTCCCTTTCGCCTCGACCAATGCACCTGGCACCCCAAGGACTCGACAAGAGCCCCAAGGGGTAGGATGGTCTGCACGGGCTTATGGCTAGGGGATTCAGGGTCCGGAGGCACCACCAACGTGCCGCCCTGGGTTCTCAACCACTCCTGCTTCTCGTCTCCTGCCAAGGTGACGGGGACTTTCTCAAGGTTTTGAAGGCGGGTGTGGTATGGAATTACCGCATGCGTCGCCCCGCTGTCCAACAGAGCAACTCCCTTATCAGAATCCGACTTGCCTTCCTTGCAAATCCTTGCCTCAAACTCATCGGCCTTCTGACGCATCTCCTGAATCTGCGCTCGTATCCCTTCCAGCGAGGACTCCTTCGATCCCTGAACATCCCGGTTATCCTTACTCTCCTCATACCCCCTGAAAACCGGAGCCTGACAAACCTTCACCTCTGGATCCCTAGTCATTGCACGGAGCGTATCAAGCTGAGCGCTTAGGGAGGCAAGGGTGATTGGGGTGCCTTGGACCGTGGCCCCAGGACTCGCCTTGGGCGACGGTTCAGCAACCTGAGCCTGAACAGGGTTGGTCACGGTGCCACTCGGGGCGCCGCTCGGTGCTGGAACAGGGTTCGGCATCGCTTGCTGAAGCATTCGGGCCGCGTCTGCCAGCATACTCTTAATCTGCTGTTGGCTCGGATCTCCGGTCACAGGTGGCGGAGGAGGGTTAGGAGTTGACCCCGGGCCATGCTTAGGGGGTGGAGCCTTAGCCTTATTCTTAGCCCTGGCGTCGTCTTGCTTTGCTCCAGCCCGACACTCCGAGGACTTATGGGTCTTTCCTCCGCAGTTCTTACAACGCTGTGCCTTTTCAGCGGACGTAAAACTGTTCCAATCATGCTCATATGAACAATCGGCTCCCTTCTTACATCCGTTATGGCCTGCATAGAACGAACACGGAGTCCTCACCGAAGCGCCAGCTTCTGGGTTGCCAGCTGACTTCGCTCCCGGAGGTCCCTTTGGAGGGCTCTTTGGAGGCTTCTTGGGAGGTGGGGGTACTGAGTTGGTCCCAGCTTCAACACCCTTAACCTTGGCCGGTGTAGCGGAAGAATCCTTCGGAGTCTTATCCTTATCTCCACGATGGGCCATAGCTTCTAGTTCCCCAAGAAGTTGTGCATGCAGTTTCTGGACTTTATCGTCATCCGGAGTGAGGTCTACTTGCAGGGAAGCACGGATTAAGTTGATCCTAAACGCTACCTCTGGATATTGCGAGAGGACGTTTCGGCAGATCTTCGAAAGAGCACGGACCTGCAGGGAACTGTCGGGCAACACGCCCCCGAGCTCCGTCATACGACGGCACCAGCGACCCCACTTTCTAAGCAGATCCACAGCTTCCTGCACGGTACTCCCCACAGGGGGGTCGGTAATATGCTTCAACCCTAGTTCGCGCTCTGTCAAGCTGCCCGGCCCGTAGATCACAAACAAACGACAGAGCAGGGGAAGAAGTCCTGATGTTCTCGACGCGCTCAACTCGTCCTTGATTGCCTGAGGCGACGCAGTGATTATCATGGTTTCAATGCGTCTCGCAACCCTCGACCACTTGGGCTGTGCAAGCTCCTCAGATGGACGAGGTTTGGCTGTTAGACGGGAGAGCGGATCCATTTTCAAGTACTTCGTGTACCACTCCTGAGCCTCCTCAACTGTTTTGGTCCACAAAACCTCCGAAGAATCCGAAATGTCTGCCAAAGCCGGTCTTGAAGCATGAAGCCAATCCGCAAAGCTCAGGCAGGACTCCGGACCATGTGGTGGGAGTTCCGGGAGGCTTACAACCCCTGGCTTAATAACCTCAGGCCTAGAATCACCCTTAGGGCTAGCCATCTCCTTAACCACACTTTGCAACTGGGCCATTCCGCTAAGAACTATCGTCATAGGGTCTAGGTCTTGGTTGCCTACAGACAGCGAAGCCTCGGCCGTCGCAGGGACGGCGCCAGTCCCGGCTCCTTCAAGCGTAGGTGTGGTTACTCCTGGATTATGGCAGCTGCTTCCTGGGTCTTTAGGGCAAGGGCTTAAGAAGGCCTGGGATTGAGTTGGATTCCCAAGGCCCGGCACCGACTGCGTAGGGTTTCCTAGCATCGGGGTAGGCGGCATAGGGTTTCCTACCGTCGGGGAAGGCTGCACAGGGTTTCCTAGCGTCGGGGAAGGCTGCACAGGGTTTCCTAGCGTCGGGGAAGGCTGCATAGGGTTTCCTAGCGTCGGGGAAGGCTGCATAGGATCTTGTTGATTATCAGTCAACCTCCCTGTTATCATTGTTGAGGGCTGAGGAACCGAGCCTAAACCAAAACTAGGGGTCCTTGGTGGCGGAGGGATTGGTACAGGAGCTTCACTCGGCGCCCCATTCATCAAGAGGTCCTGGGTTAGCAGTGCCCGAGGAGAGGGCTGAGGCCTAGGGCCAGAAGATGCTATCAGAGGAGGCGGTGGAGGAGGCGGATAGGCCTGGGAGCCGTCAAAATCCAAGGCTCGCTCAGGTCTGGCTTGGCCCATCAAGGTTCCCAATCCTCTTCCTAACCAACCTAACCTCTGAAACCCAGACATAACCCCTTGAGTAGGTCTAGAAGAATGCATCGCTACCTGAGCGTCGTACTCGGCCCTCATTCGAAGGCCGTGGTTTTCCATTGACAACGCCTCAACTTGTGCACGCAAACGCCTACTTTCTTCATCTCTAACCGCCATCAACTCACTAAGTTGCCTACGCACTTCCGCTTGAAGCTCACTGGATGCCGTCGAAGGTGGCCTCGGAGCTTCCTGCCCCATGGACAGAGTTGGATCCATCCCGTCAGCCACCCGGAGTCCCGCGGAGTCCCGGGAAGATCCCGCATACAACAGAGGAGCAGTTTCTTGCATCTGCTGCATTCTCATCAAGGTCGGCACATCGAACAGCGGTAACTGAAGTTCCGGCTCCAAAGGCGGTGCCGGTGGTACTTCCTCTACCATAGATCGCACCGAAGCATACTCCACGCTGTCGTGTTGGCCTGGACTGAAGCGTCCAGCGGTTGATCGGGTCATCATGCCTTCCACAGTAGCTGGCAAGGTCTGAACTGCTCTCAGCATCCCAGTCAGCATACCGGTCTGTTGCCCGGTCTGTTGTCCCGCTGCCACTGCAGTCTGAGGCCTTCCCGAGCCTTCAAGTGTAGATGGCAGGCGAGTGGGCAAGGACTGTGATTGAGCCCCTCTCACTGGCCCTCCAAGACCCAGATCAGGGGCCGCGGCTGGGATCCCGGCCGCAGCTTCCTGAGCTCCTTCCATCATCGGAGGAGAGGTCGTAGTAGCGGCTCTCTGGGTCGCTGCCACCACTTCTCCATCCATATCGTGGCCCCCCCTCAACGGTGGGCCCACGCCATTCATCATTCGAGGTCCTTGATCTGCTCCATCATCTTGCGAAGCAGTAGCGTTTGGGCGTCTCATAACCTGTTGAACCTCAGGAGCATCCTGAGAGTTGGGGTTTTCCGTAGAATGCGAAGCCATAGATGTCGTCAACGATCTGCTCTGGGCTCGTCGGGAGATTCAGAGCTGGAGGTCCATGGGCTTACAACGCACAACTCTTTCACACTCAGCGGCAAACACATCCGTCCTCTAGACTGGTATCGTCTGCTACAGTGGCATGTCGAACTGTGCCTATACATGACTGACATGTCACATGAGGGGTCACCCCTCTTCAGATCTGAGCCTTCTAGGCTCTGCGGGAGTGCATCAGCTCTCACAGCTTCTACAGGATTCTATAAGGCTACCATAATATAGGGGCCTTAATACTTAGAGTAGGGATTTGGGGCCCATGATACTATACCGATAATACGGAACCACCAAAAGAGTATTGGCAATTTCTTATGCCCCTATATTAGCTGACTTTCTGGGCTTGGTGGAATTTGGGATGCATCGTGCAGGGTGATTATACGGGGTTCCAGAGGGTTTGGCATCGTGCTTTCAGGTTTGGGTATTTCGGGTTCGCGTCGGAGGCACTTCGTGGTTCTATGCTTTATCCGGCTTATTGCCGGCATCTCCTTCCAGGGCGTTACCTGCAGCATGTGATCACTCCTTGCTTTGTGATGTATGTAGGATGCCTGAGGGTTTTTAGGATAATATAACCCGCTACAGCCGGAAGGTTCAAATTTAATGGTTTATGATTTCGACAGCTGACTTGATGACCGGGTGTATCCTGTAACCTTAGGACACCAGTTTATTCCCAGGTACCTGTCGCGCCCTGGGCCCTAACGCCGAGAACTAGGTTTTGAATATATCAGAGAACCGTGGTGAAAATTACTAGTGGGTTGGTGAGGCTTGGACCTTAGCGAGTACTTGGGCCTCCTGATTCTGGCAATTTAAACTCTGAGCCCTAAACCTAAACCTCGAAAAGGAGCCCTTAAAACAAAAAACAAAACTAAACCTTCAAGCCCTAAATTCAACACCCCTGAGCTGAAACCTTCTGCCCTGCCCTGCAGTTCTTGGCCTAAGGGCCCAGCCCAGCTCATAACTTCAGGGACTTCGTGGTCGATAGGGTTTGCGGTTTAAGTCTTCGGGTTTGGGGTTCAGGGTTTAGGGAGGCTTAGGGTTCAGGGCTTTGGGGTTTGAGCTTTTTTTGGGGTTTAGGGGTTTAGGGTTTAGGGTTTAGGGGTTTAGGGTTTAGGGTTTAGGGACTGATTGTAAGTGAGTCACCTGATGTAGCGACCTTATCATGATCCATGCAGAGAATCGCAGAAGCTCCATCATCCGTACACCAAGAGCTGCCTAGGGAGGTGCATTTTGATAGTGATAGTATTACCCACTATGAAACTGGAAGTGTGCACTTTTTTTGGGGCTTATGAACTCAGCAACTAAGTTTTTTCGTACGCGGAAGACAACAACCAGAACCAGGTGTGCTTCTGCTTCGAGGCCCTCCCCAGATCTCATTTCGAAGACTATACACAATAAACCATTATATGTTGTATACTCTATGTTGTTTAGTATATGGTATATTGCTATAGCCTGGGCGGCAGCAGTCCGTTTCCGGGCTCGCCAGACCTTCTCTGCGCACTGCCGTTCTGCGGCAAGTGCGCCAGTATGGGAGTTTCCGAAAATTTGGGGGTACCTTATTTTGGGGGCCTTTATAATTAAGGATCCTACTATTTAGGGCACCATATTAGGGTCCCCTATTTTCGGAAACTCCCATATGCTTCAGAAGCTGGATCGACTGACGGGCGTCAGTCGATCCAATGCCGCCAGGAATCAACAGCCAGTCCGGAAGGCGAGCTCCGGGTTCCTTTTCAATGTTCAGCTTGTTTTGGGTGTAGGGTGCAGGGCTTAGGGTGTAGGGATTCAGGGTTTAGGGTGCTTCCAACCCTAAACCCTAAGCCTTCAACCGTAATCCCTGATTTCGAAACCCTTCGCTTTCAGAGCCTCCCTCAAAGCCGTCGGGAGGACATGGATCCGGAGCTGCCGGCGTTCGATGAGGACTTTGCCTAGGGTTTAAGGTTTAGGGGTTTAGGGTTTAGAGTTTGTGGCTCAGGGTTTGGAGTTTGGGTATAGAAACCACTGCTTACGGGCAAAGCAACAGGGTGCTACAGAAGTTTGAACCTCTTATAATATCATAGTCCCTGTATCCTGTAAGGTCATAGTCTGCTGTAACTTAAAGGAGCAGTAACACCCAAGACCCAAAACCCTATTAAGTTCAGGGTTAGGGTTTAGGGGAATGGTTTGGTGCTTTGGGTTTCTATGGCAGAAGTTTTTGCAGGGCGTGTAAGCCTTCATTCTTGCCCGTCGTTGTCCTGGCCTTAGGCCCAAGGCGACGTAAGTGCGACTCTGCCGCTCCAGCTGATCGCAAAGGAGGGAGAGAGACAGAGAGAGAGAGAGAGAAGTCTTCTTTGCAACCTCGACCTCCGTCCACCCCAGGTCTCTAACAAAACCCCAAACCGGAAGTCCCGAACCCCAAAACCCCACACCTTAGAGAACTTCCCCCCCCACCTTGCAAGCTCCTCAGCCCCAGCCCGAAATCCTACATGGGAGTCTCCCAAAATTAGGGGTACCTTATCTTGGGGTCCTTATAATAAGGATCCTACTATTTAGGGTCCTATATTAGGGTCCCCTGTTTTCGGAATTCCTACATTGCCAACCCTGAAGCCTCAAATGCCCAAGCTCTCTTATCCAAGCGACCCTAAAAACCCCACGTATGCCTCAGGTACGGCCCCCACTCAGTAATAAGAGTTGAATAATATTCATAATACAGATAGAGTAGGACCTTAATAGTAGCCCTATTATAAACTCTTACTGTATGGGGGCCGTACCCAACGTATGCCTCTTGAGCCTGGGCCCCCACCCCCAAAACCCACATCAACGTACAGCAATCCTTGCAGCATCCCCGAAGGTAACCTTTAACGGAACCCTTAAAGCCGAAAGCTTGAGCCTATACTATAGTAAGCCCGATAGTAACCCTTAGGGCATCCCTTAAAGTAACCTTCAGAGAAGCCATCAGATCCGACAGTTCCAACCCTCCGAGCAATGTGGAGTCTTGCCGCTTTGCCGCCAGGAAGCAACGGCCAGTCCAGAAGGCGAGCTCACGGTTTTGCTATGTAACGTCTTTTTCGGTATCAATAAATGTGATTGTTATTGTTTTGCAGAATATTGATAGTAGTATTAGTCTTGTTGTCTAAGTTTCTTATGGGTGCAGGGTTTCGGGTGTAGGGATTTAGGATTTAGGGCTTAGTGCGTAGGTCTTACGTAGGGTTGAGCTTTTATTGGGGCTGTATGCGGGCACTATGAGTTTTCTAGTCTACCAGGATATTTCTGGCATTTGGAGTGGCTTAAGTTTCAGGTTTAGGTCTCGACGTTTGCAGTTCGGTTTTTACGGCTCGGAGCTTTGATTTTGCTGGACACAACAAGGTAAACAGTAAAACCGAGCCCTGCAACCTCCTTATAGAACTTATAAGCCCTAATCCCTAAACTAAAGCCTTTGTGAGCCTGTTTGTTTTGAAACCCTGACGCCCTAAACTTTTGAAACCCTACACCCTAAACCCTACACCCTGAACCCTAAACCCTGAACCCTAAACCCTGAATGAACCCTAAACCCTGAACCCTAAACGCCCTAAACCCTAAACCCTAATGAAACCCTGAACCCTAAACTCTAAACTCTAAACCCTAAACCCTAATGAAACCCTGAACCCCTTGAATGACAGGTCCCAAGTCCTCCGAAGCAGCTTCCCCAGTTGAAGATGCCCGGGACGCGGTCCAGAGCCTGGGCCTTACTCTTGGGGGCCTAAATAAATAGAATAGAGTTCCTTTAGAAGGGGTCGATAAGGGCTACTAGAAGGGCGAGTATAAGGATATATCTTCCGACCTCTGTGTTTTAGTTTAGGCTTTGGGGTTTCATTTAACATAAAATTTGAAGATGAGTATTATCTTTAGCATTGCTGTATGAGTAGTACGAACAACCACATTAAATCTTGTAATTAGTCGTAGTCATATTTCATATAAAACTAACCACACTGTACTATATCTTACTTACTACATGATATGGGAGTTTCCAAAAATAGGGGACCTTAATATCGCACCCTAAGCAATAGGATCCTTATTATAAGGACCCCAAGATAAGGTACCCCAAATTTTCGGAAACTCTAAACCCTAAACCCTTTATAGAACCCTTATAGATCCCTTTAAGGAGCCCTGAAAGGCTCCCTTTAAAGGAACCCCCCAAATTTTTTCGGAAACTCCCATCTCTGCCAGCTCAAGTTCGGGCTTCGGGTTCTTCCGGCTTAGAGGTTTTTTGGGGGAGTTTGGGGTGCTGAGGCTTCGGAGTTTTGGGGTTTAGCGCTTCGGCTTTAGGGTTCGGATTAGGTGTGGGGCTTGAGGTTTAGGGGGCTTTAGGGTTTGGTTTAGGGTTTGGGGGGCTTTAGGGTTCGGATTAGGTTTGGGGCTTAAGGTTTAGGGAGCTTTAGGGTTTGGTTTAGGGTTTAGGGGGCTTTAGGGTTCGGTTTAGGTTTAGGGCCGAGGCTTTCCGTTGCAGGCTCCGGGGTGCTTGGCTCGCCCTGAACCGTGAGCCGTTAGGGCTTTGGTTCTGAATCCTTCTGGTTCCTTAGGCTTTGGGATTACTGGTGCTTAGTAGGGAATGGGGGAATGGGTCCAAACGTAGCCCCTACATAATCCCCAATAATTTACTATAGTTCCCATAGTCCATTCCCCCCTTCCCTACTAAGAACCAGGGAGATTATGGCGCTTTCGGACTCTGTGTACCTAGACCCTCCGTCTACCCTCTATTAGACCGTAAATGCCCCTTACTTGGGACCTTATACTACTATTTGAGGGTACAAGGAGGGTCCTGGTAGGGTTTTAGGTCTCGAGTTGGAGGTTTTCGGGCTCGAGGTGCTTAGGTCTTTCGGGTTTAG